AACGCACTTGCTATATTACCTGAAGCTACTTTTTACGTCACATTCTGCACGAATAAATGACTAAATAAATAAACCATATCACCAGGTGATGCTAGCAGCGCTCCACGCGCAAGTAGTAAGCGGCGACTGCATGGGCGGCGGCGAGGAGTGTTCCGTAGCCGCTGGTGCCGTTCTGCCGCCGCGACTGGCGCCTGCCTTGCCAGCGCCTGCTGTGCGACTGCACCATCTGGCGCTGCGGGGGACTGACGCTCATGCTGCCATGCAGCGAGCGCTCACGCTGGCTGCTTCGTGGCCGCTAGCGAGAGCTACTATATTTGATGTCATGGTGAGTGCTACGAGGAGAAATAATAGTTGGCGTTGTCCGTGCCCGCCGCGCGCCTGCACCATCTGGCGTTGCGCGGGACTGATGCTCATGCTGCCATGCAGCGCGCTCTAACGCTGGCCGCTTCGTGGCCACTCGCGAGGGCTACCATCTTTGACGTCATGGTGAGTGCCAGCTGTCCGCGCCTGCCGTACGCTTGCATCATTTGGCGTTGCGGGGGACCGACGCTCATGCTGCCATGCAGCGCGCTCTCCCGCTGGCTGCTTCGTGGCCGCTTGCAAGGGCCACTATCTTTGACGTCATGGTGAGTGCTGAAGGAGAACCAAAGCTACCACTGCCTACGCAACTTCAGGTCAAACTACTTGGAAAGACTGTTGTTCTGGAGTTTGGCCTTTTGCCACTGGTATAGTTACTGGCCATGTTTATGCGCCGCCACTGACCCTTTGACGCTGGCTGCTTTATGGTCTCTCTTATGGACTAACTACCTTCTAGATATTATGCAGAATTTTATACTGAAAAAACGTTACACAAAAAACTTTTGCAGTTTGCTCACAAGATTATGATAAAATGTTTCACTACATAACGTAATTTCTTCACAGCAATCCTTCACATCCAACTGGCCTCGCGCGCTCTGGCTAGCGGTAGACGCGCGCGGGCTGACGCTGCTCCGACGAGGGTCCCGCGCGGCGCTGGTGTCGCACGACCACGACCAGCTGCTGGCCGTGTCGCCCGCACCGCGAGCGCTGTTACTCGTCACTAGGGCTGATAGGAAGCACGCTAAGCTGGTGCTGTCCACCGACCAGGTCAGTGCACCACTAGTTGATAATTCAGACAAGTTTCAGGTAGAAGACTGTGTGACTGCTTTGAAACGCTAAAACATTAGAATAGACCATGACCAGCTGCTGGCCGTGTCTCCGGCGCCTCGAGCGTTGTTACTCGTCACTAGAGCTGATAGGAAGCACGCTAAGCTCGTGCTGTCTACCGACCAGGTCAGTGCACCACTAGTTGATAATTCAGACTAGTTTCAGGTAGAAGACTGTGTGACTGCTTTGGAGCGCTAAAACAGGGATAGACTATAACCAGTAGCTGGCCGTGTCGCCCGCGCTGCTGCTCGTCACTAGAGCTGATAGGAAGCACGCCAAGCTGGTGCTGTCCACCGACCAGGTCAGTGCTAGACAGTTGACACAAGTGTAGAAGACTATGTGGGTACTTTGAAGCGCTAAAACACTGGAATAGATCACGACCAGCTGCTGGCCGTGTCGCCCGCACCGCGCGCGCTGTTACTCGTCACTAGAGCTGATAGGAAGCACGCCAAGCTGGTGTTGTCCACCGACCAGGTCAGTGCAAGACTTGACAATGCAGACAAGTTTCAGGTAGAAGACTGTGACTGCTTTGAAACGCTAAAACACTGGAATAGAGCACGACCAGCTGCTGGCCGTGTCGCCGGCACCTCGAGCGTTATTACTCGTCACTAGAGCTGATAGGAAGCACGCTAAGCTGGTGCTGTCCACCGACCAGGTCAGTGCTAGACAATTAACAATGCAGACAAGTGTAGAAGAATATGTGACTGCTTTGAAACGCTAAAACGCTGGAATAGAGCACGACCAGCTGCTGGCCGTGTCGCCCGCACCGCGAGCGTTGCTGCTCGTCACTAGAGCTGATAGGAAGCACGCCAAGCTGGTGCTGTCCACCGACCAGGTCAGTACATCATCATCATCATTTCAGCCACAGGACGTCCAATGCTGAACATAGGCCTCCCCCAATGACGTCCACCAGGTCAGTACACAGGACCTAAAGCTGCTGACGCGGCGACTAATTCACTGTTATGTAGGTGACTTTACTTTGATGCGCTTTACTGGGAATAACAAAATCTGGATGCGGGCAGCGCAGGAACTTTAAATCCTTGGGCTCCCCCAAAGGCCTCCGCCTTTGTCCAGCAGTGGACTTCATTTGGCTGAAACAATTAGAGTAAAGGAGTCGTTTGAGTTAAGCTGTTCCACTTCAGTGTAGTCTTAATATCACTGCAACCGGTTTCGACCGACCGATCGCCGTTGCCGGTAGCTATGTTACAGCAATTAAAAGTCGCTTCCTAGTCTTGTATGTAGTTACTATTGTTTCGTTTAAGGGTTAATACGCCTTATTTCATTAAAAAAAACTCATAAAACTCATTTATTTTTACAAATAGACTTTTAAAAGCACTGTTACACGTCCCAGTATTAACCAGTGCTGAGAAGAAGTAGCGCAAGAAACTCAGTCACTATTGTTGTCACATATTGTCTTAACCAACCCTTCCATTTCCAGGCCTACCAAATCGCGACGCTGATCAAGGACTACATCGAGGCGGTCCGCGGGCCGGTGTCGCCGGCGGCGCCGCCCGCGGCCTCCTCGTGACATCCGCACGCCTAGTGCCAGTGCTTCCACGTCAGGCAGTAGGCCGGCTGTCAAGGCCGGGCCCGCACGGAGTGAACGAATGAACGAACGGAACGTAGTCCGTTGAATGGTTCCGTTTGGCAGAGCGGGGGAACCACACGTATAGGTTAAAAAGGTCACGTTTTTATTTGAAGGGATATACTACTTATAGGTTCAAAAATCTCAAGTCAAGGTTTCTTTTTTGCGGGAAGAACCTACCGAGTTGAAAAAGCAGATTTTAGGAAAAATTCCATAAAAATCTGCTGGCCCTTAAGAACTCGTTGGCCTGCAGATTGAAGATAAGGTGTTACATTTTAGGTCTGTATTAATAAAGTAAAGTATGTATCTGCATTAATAGTAAGATTCTGAAATTCGAGGCGGTCTTAGGTATACAGGGTGACTGGAGTAAGGAATTCAATAGAGAGAGAGAACTCAAATGAGTGCAATACGTATAAATTATTGTTCTTTTATATGAACGATAAGATACATTTTGTATCAATGATTTCATGATGATATGATCTAATAATGTAATTTATTTTAAAAAAAATATGACGATGGTTTTATAACCGATGCATTTGACTATTTATTTTAAATTATGTAATAAGTAGGTAGATAACCTAAATGATTATAAACATTGTGTTTTTTATACTTTTAATGAAATATTTTAGTTTAAGTTAAAATTGCAAATTAAAAGAAAATTTGAGAAACATACCGAAAGATAAAGCTACAAGACCGCCTGGATTAAAAAACGTGTGAATTGTGGTTTCCTACCGCTCGGCCTATTATCACAGGCGTTAAGAGCGTTAGCTCCAGTACTTAGTCACTAGTTAATCTAGGTGTAAAGTTAGGATAGGCAAATTTGGAGCTCGCTCGCGCGCCTGCGTCGGAACAGAAACGGAGAAGTAAATGTCGCTGGAACCAGTGCCGTAACTAGTCTTTTATGCGCCCGGTGCGAGAAATATAAAAAAATGTAACCTTTTTGAATAAAAAGTAACCTTNGGGGGGCGTGCATGAAACAAAACTAGATACTGGTCGGGTCATTTCTGCGCCCCTCCAGGGTCTGCGCCCTGTGCCTGGGCACCGCTGGCACCGCCCTAGTTACGGCACTGGCTGGAACACGACCCCGTGCGAACGCATGCGGGTCACGGAACGACAACGTCGCTCTTTAGTAAACGAAAACTTATTTTAATTTTATTTATTAGTTAGCAAAGCATATCAAATGAAACGGTCAGTCTACATTTACTTCACAACACAAACAGGTAGCGAAGTGGCGTTTGGTTTCGAGTGCAAGAATGGACGATTTCAGTTGCCAGAAGACGGGGAAGCAAAAATAAACCATATATTTCATAGTTAACAGTGAATAGTTCAGCAGTTTTAATCCATGTTTAAAATAAATTAAAAATTATATTCCGATCTAAATAAACTTTAAATGTTATGTCAGTGTCAGTATTATTGCTGTTAATAAATTAATGTTACATGTAATAATGTTGTGGGATAGTCTTATCAAACGTTATGAATGTTAAGATGTTTCTCGAGTTAAATATAGAGTAATTTAAATTATAACAATCTTATTCCCCTCTTTAGTCTGTGGTACTTGTAAGATCTGGGTTGTAATGCCATTTCAATTTATGCAATTTACCATGCTGGAACACGTAAAATATTTGGAACAAGTTTAGTAATAATTTGGCAATCAATACAGTTGTCGATTCGAATTAAAATGGCAACACAATCTACTTAATTACTAAGCCAATCCCAATATACCCCTTTTGCCTTTCACATAGCGTATGTTTTGCTTGTCTTTACTACTAAATATACGACATGTGTGTTAAATAGTAGCGTCCTTACATTTTAAATATAGATTTCCCTCAATAAAATTTATATTCTAAATCTTTTCCTATGTTTAATCATGTTGTCATTATCTTTGCTCAAAAACACTCTTCCTTATTACCTTTCCATAATATTCCTAAAATCTTGTTTTGTGCCTTGTGGAGAGCTGAAGTAATAATGCTGATTTAAGCTCTATCTTTGTATTTTTAAGCAAATTATTTCTTCTAAGAGCTTATCAGCATGTTATTTCTAGCATAGTTAATACTCAGTGAGCGATTTGTGCAAATTTATTGTGACTGCAAAATAATTACTGATTGTTTATAACATTCTTATATCTTCTATCATGCATATTACATTATATTGCACAATGTTATGTCTGTATATTTTATAATAAAAATATATTTAATATTGTAGACATAGAATCTGAAATAATCAATGTATAAATATAATTATGTAGACAACCGAACATTATATTGTAAAGACGAATGTCTTTACGCGCATTTGTTTAAATTGTATGAAAGAAGCCATATTATAGTAATTTTTATTACTTTAGACTTATTTGGTGCTTAGACAATCACTATTTTGCTTAGCTTGTTTCTGATCTCATAATGAGTATTATTTATTTAGATGCCATATAATTTGTGTTTTAACAAGCAATATTTCATTCGATTTTATTTATTTGACTTACATAATTTAAGATGACTTTGTATATAATTGGTAAACCAAAGACTTTGAATTGTCCCTTTGGATATTATTATTACGATTTTCTTATTTATATTTTTAAAATTGAAACTTGTACATATTATTGATATGTAAGAATTCAAAAATATGCATACTCTTAATATTAGAGCTGAATTTATGAATAATATGCAAAATTTGGCATTCAGAAACAATTACTTCACAATTTTATTAATTATACTGCTTTAACATTATTCATAACATCCACTTTTCTATTAATTTACAAATCTTCATGCATTTCATACAAACAAAGACAAACAATATGAAGTCTTTTCTTGTAGCTCTATAAGGCGATTATTTGTAGAATAATTTAAGGCACTAACGAATCGAAAGATTTTTATGTAAACCACCATCACCATGTACTGCCCAAATAGACTGAAAATGTCCAAATATTTTATTCTTTTTGATGAATTGTTTTTGTTACATTTGTGTATGGAATTTTACCCTATTATTTGAATGCCAAATAAATGATTACAAATAATGAATCATGTATTATTTTATTCCTTTTTACACTTAATGCTATGAGTCTTACAATTTATGGAGGTATGCATTATATTTTACTGTGTAACAAGTCCAAGGTAGTCATCCATCAATGTTCCAATAGCAAACTGAAATGAAAAAAAGAAGTCATATTATATGATACAAAAATGATGACCAGAAAAATGCTTTTTAGAAAGAAAAACAGTACTTACAATACCCGTGGCATCAACTCTTGTGCCCACAATCTTCAACCGAATCACATCTTCCTCCTGAATTACATTGTCTTCTTGCTTGCTCTTGTAGCAGGGTGGATTGACATTAGGACAAAACTCCATGTCAGCTGGTATGGACTAGACAACAGGAAAGAATTAAATTAGAAAACTTAAATCAATAAATTGAGCCCTAGCCTTGTGGTTGTGATTCACATATTGGAATAACAATAACCACCAGAATTACAAGTGTTGCTTAGTTTAGGACTAGATTGAGTACCTAGTGTAATAGGTCCAAGTACTATTAAAATATTGATGAAGACAAAAAAATAAAGATTAACTAGGTATGTCAAATTAAAGTTTTTCAAAAAGGAATTTCTTACTCACATGATGAGAAATAAAACAACTCAATGGGCCGATCTGAGCAAACATTCCCACCTAAAACAAAGAGAAGTTCATGAGCTAAGTTGTAACATTTCATAACACTATTTTATAAATGAACTGTATAGTGCACTTACTTTATTCACTTGTGTAACAATAGCATCTAAAACCTCTCCCTTGAAAGGCCGAAATACAATAGCTTTGTATTTAACAGGATACACCACAAACCCTTGGCCTGGCTGTATTAACCCCGCTCCTATGCTATCTATTGTGGTCACAGCTATTACGAAGCCATACCTGTAATAAACAATCTGTAATTAATGCAATGCAATTATTGAGAACGATGATTAGCTATTAAAACGTATCTTAGAAGTAGGTAGAAAAAGAACCCCATCTTAGCAACTACTAAAAAAGTAACCTAAAAGAGTAATATTTTAAACACCAATTAAGTACTTACTTTCCTGTGCATGTTCCTTCAACTTCAGTATACAACTTCTGCTTCACTGTATCCAAGAGCTGGGGTCCGAAATATCTAGGGTGTAGAAGTATTTCGTGTTCTAAGGAGATCTGAAAGATTTTGTTTACATCAGAAGCTGTGTAAAACAAATTTGATTTTGGTACAGCAAAGTTCAATAACTTACGTGATAAAACATGATGGAACATAAACTAAAAGCACATTTCTACAGGAACTACACAATAAAAATAATTAAAACTAATATTTTATTAAAAATTTCCTCAAAAATTACGAAAACAGCGACGACGCCACTTTCAGTATTTGACAGTTAAATTGACAGTTTTATTTTACCGATTCAAGCTCTCTCTGTAAATTTTTATTTTTTTTTTTTTTTTAATGGCAATCCGCGCAGTAATCTCTCTGTAATTAAGAACTGGCAACATTAAATTTGCTGTACTTTAACGCTATCTACATTCATTCAATTAATAATTCAATTGGACTGATGCAATCGATTATAATGATTGTTCATCATCTTAGTTCTAATTTACTTAAAAATGTATATGATTTTAATCATAAGCCATTTCATCTACTCATTAAGGATAGAATAACAATAAAATCAAGAATTTAAGTTTAATGCGGTTTAATGACATAAATAGGCTTTAGTCTGTGACACGTCGATCTTATGCAATACAACACTAGTGATTACTCAAAAAATGCCAAATGAATGGCCCATGTATCCTGTAATCTGATTGTGGTAGAAAATGGCAAAAACTTACGATTATTTATTTAAATTACTCTTGATAGGTGATTCCGGAGTGGGTAAAACGTCTATACTATTTAGATTTTCAGAAGATGCTTTCAATATATCATTTATATCAACCATTGGTAAGTGCTCGTAATTTTTATCAAAGGTTATTGTCAGATATCTTCTTTTTTTACGTATAATTTGTCATGAAACAGATTTTTTGTTTCATTGTTCTCCGACTGCTTTTTTGTGTGGTGATACATGAAGAGTGCTACTCAACGGAAAGGGTGCGGCGCTGTGATAATGTAGCCCTTATCGAATTAAATGAATGAGCTCTTCCATGACATCATACAGACTAGCTCTAATTAGTGAACTCACAAAATTTAACAAGTGCTTCTTGTTTCCAGGGATCGACTTCAAAATTCGGACAATAGACCTTGATGGTAAAAAAGTAAAATTACAAATATGGTAAGAATTCTTTTGTTTGTGTTATCAATCCATAAATTTATTGGAAGCTATTATTTTAATCATAAAATCTCCCTACAGACAGTAACTGTTATTATTTTTGTAAATAATAAATTCCATTAAATTCGATGATAATAAATTATATTTTTATCTAAAAGGAAAACAATACATAATAATATGCTATAACAGTTAATATAGTTCTTTAAATTACTTGTTAAATGTGGTTTATTGTTATTATTAGCAATTTTAGTAACTTCCTACTGGCTCCATTAAAAATCGCAATAAAAACAAATGAATTGCAGATGGTTTTTAAATCATCACAGTAAAATAATTAACAAAGAAATTGTGTTTATTTTATAGGGATACAGCAGGACAGGAGCGGTTCCGTACAATAACAACAGCGTACTATCGAGGTTCAATGGGGATTATGCTGGTTTATGATGTTACAAATGAGAAAAGTTTCGAAAATATTAAAAATTGGATAAGAAACATTGAGGAGAATGCAAGCGCCGATGTGGAAAAGATGATACTTGGAAATAAGTGTGATTTAGATTCTAAAAGACAGGTAAAAATCAGCTGATTTTGTATTTTATTAAATAATCGATATTGTAATTCAAATTTTATTATTTATCATAAAACTAATACTTTATTTTAGGTCTCAAAAGAACGAGGAGAACAATTAGCTATAGAGTATCAGATTAAGTTTGTAGAGACGTCAGCTAAAGACTCATTAAATGTTGAGTATGCATTCTTCACGCTAGCAAGGGATATCAAGGCCAAGATGGAGAAAAAACAGGTATATTTTACAGTCATTTCACTTTACACGATTGTCATCAACATGGTCTATGATAAGTGATTGTAATGTACCGGACAATTGGTTCAAGGACTAATTCATAAATGCTAACTATTTGTGGTGCCACCTACGAATACATTTGGTAAACAAGCCACAGAAATAGAGACATCACTTGAGTGAATTAAAATTTTAAAATGTTTTGAAAATATTTACCTTGTTCTAAATAATTTTTTGTAATGTGGAAATGTAAATATAGTTCAAATCAGTCCTTTTTTCATTCAAGGTATAATTATTTTTATATTTAAACTTTATATAATATAGATATCAAAATTGAGAAACATCTTAGTTTACATTAATTGTGAATTGAACCAAATACTATTTAATGAAGTAGTTATTAACCCTAAATATTCTTTGTTTCATGGCTCTCTATATGAAAACAGAAGGTAATGAGGTTTGCTGTGTTGTTGTTATGACCATCTACAGATTGTCTGTTGTGTAATGTGTTGTTACGTGTTTATTCATTCATGACATTAGATGCTATTGATATTTATTTAGTTACCGAAATGCGTCATTTTACTTACACGCACACGGGTCGATGCGGCCACCAGTGGTCACACCGACCCATTTGCGGGCATCTAATCAGGCTTCTTGAAAAATTAGAAGCCCAAGAAGATAACTTCTTAGGGAAGCCATAAAGCCATTCGTCATGCTTAGCTATATACTTAATTGTCATTTTCATTAATATGACCAAAAAAATAATAAGTCCTAATGTTTGATGCATGTTCATGTTCATTTACTGTTATATTGAGAAAGCTTTAAAAATACTGCTGCATTGTGTGCTCCCTTTTTACCTACCGTACAAGAAATGAGGAACCTGTTTCTAAACTGTCAAAAGATAATTTTGGTCTAAAATACCGATCGTTTTCGATTATATCCATTCTATTTTCTTGTTCAAACCAGTGGGATGATCTTGTGGTAATGTAGTGGTGCTTGAATGTTCAGGAAGCAAGCAACCCGGCGCCGCGCACCGGGGCGCACCAGCTGCGCGCCAACGAGCAGCAGCGGAAGCCGACGTCGTGGCTGGCGCGCTGCTCGCTGCTCTGACGGCGCCCCGCCCGCGCGTCCCTCGCACCACGCCACAACACCCTACTCTAAAGTGGACCGTAAACGTACCCACCTCTACTATATTTTTCGACCTACAACTTTTTGACTGGTGCATCGACTCCTGAAGGGGATGAGACTTGCTTTTGTATTTTTATATCCGCGATTATACCTACTTTGTCTCTTAGTTAATGATCGAACAGTATTGTGTCGTAAATTACATGTACATTATTTTAACATCTGAAGTGACGATTCATATTTTTAGGGCGAAATTAATTGGTGTTTATTTTTTAAATGGTTTCAATGGATATTACAATAGATTATTATTTAGCTGTACTTTTCCTTTGCAATTTTAATTAAGATAATTATATATATTTTATTGTAATATATACTATTTAATTTGAATAAACAGTGCTTTTTTTACAACACATTTGTTTTAGTCAAGTGCAGGGTTTTTTATCTCTAAGAAATGATGATAAAGCACTTTGATAAGAAACTTTATTTTCCAACAGTATATACAAAACAATTTTTGATAAATGGAAGTATTCCTAGTTGAAGAGTACCCAAATCATTACATTTATTGTAGCTCATTTGGTACAACCACTATGAATTTAAGTAACAACTTATAATATAAATAAATGCTTTCATGTTGCTTGTACTTGCTTAGGAGAGGATCTGAAAGGTCGAAGAGCGAGATTTTTCACTCCTACTAAGGCACTTTTCGATGCAAATCCGAACAACTGTATAAATTTTTTGAGACTCAGAACTAAAAGTTCTGCTGTGAGTTGAGAGCCTTTCCGCCAATAAGTAACGTAAACAGGGAGTGGCGGCAGGTTATCAGACCAGACTCCATTGCGGAAGCTTTTTGCTCTGGCTTCTGCTGACAACAGTGCTGGAGCTAATTGTGACTCGATTGTGTTTTTCTTTATATTTTGTGGAACGGAAGCCTTTGCAAAGCCAAGTTCAACCAATTTCTGCCCAAGATCAAAAGTCTCCACAGATTTTGTCTGAAAAACATAACACAATAATTAGTAACTATCTTATTTAGTAAACATACACTCGACATCAAATAAATCGCACCTCCCGCGACAAGCACTTTCAAACGTATGCATCCCCACTTCCCACCAATATTGGCACCATTTAAAAGCCTAGTTCTAAACTTCATTTCATTAAAGGAAAGGTTTTTACCCCAAAAATGTGTCTTTAGAAGGATCCAGAGTCACTTCTTCAAAAAATAGGTAGTTACGCTTGAGCCATTTTTTATGACTATAAAACTGTTAAGTTGGGATTAATCGCTATCCATCTGTTAAAGAGGATACGTGAGATCATTATTTGGTTTTATAACCATAAAAATTGGTCTAATTGATCCCAGAGGTGAGCCCAAAGTGAGGTCTATTTTCAAGTCACATTTATGGTATATGTTAATCTTTTATTTAGAAATGAAATGTGTTTTTCTTTAAGGATATTTATTGGGCTTTCAAATAACATCAATATTGTTGGGGTACCATTATTGTGTCAGAAGAAAATCTTTAAAGTTCGCGTCGCGGAAGGTGCGGTTTATTTGATGTTGAGTGTACATATAATATCAAATACAAAAATATTTAATAAGTACCTTCGGTTGGGGTAAATGCAATAAAACAGTGGAGACTAATGTATCCTTGTCTGTGGCAATGGGTTTCAAAGTCACCTGTTTGCCCTTGGCCACACATTCCAGCCAGTTCACTGCATTTCCACTAACAATATCAACACCCCACAGCTGCCAAAAAAACAAAAGCAATTTTATTATTACTTTACATAAATCTATATGAATTTTTAAGAATAAACATATAACAAGAATAAGAATAAACATATTTTATGATGAACTTTGCTACAAACCTTTACTGGCATTGGTGGTTTGCTGGAATGCCATAGAGGCAAGTATATTGGTGCCCGATGGTCAACCAACAAACGCATTGGAGTATGCTGCACTCCCGTGTACACTCCTCTGAGTGGCTCATGGCTCCGCAAGAAGTGCTCCGGTATCTTGCTTGCATTCGAAAACTTGCTAACCTAATTTCAAAAAGTATTGTTAAGTTATGTAATGGTCAATAAACCACATTAAATCCAATGAAAATAATCATTCATTACCGGACGTATCTTATGTATCGACACAGCTAAGCCAGCAGTTGCGAGAGCATAGACGGCTATCTGTAAACCAAAAAAACATTCATAACAAGATAGTCTATCTACCTACATTAATGTAAAAGTATGATAAATTTATCTTACGTTGACACCACGGTAATCCTGCTGCAACAAATTGGTTAAGCTGTAAAAGAAGCCGTCTCTTCTCTCAGACATCTTGCTATTTGATATCTGACCAAACTTTCATAATTTATAGAAATTAGCTCATCAATATTTCCAGATTTGAGGAATTCGCATTACGAACTTTTGTTTGACAATTATTGACATTTGTTTTCTTGACAAACAGCTGTGACGACTTTCAGTGTTATCACGTAAAAAAACATGACCCCGACTTAATAGTGATGTGTCTAGGCTACAAAACAATGTAGCTCAGAGCTCAGTAAGTTTAGAAATTGTAAAAAAAAATATAAATATCAAACGGCGTTTTCACTACAGAGGCTCTGTGAACTTCATGATTCTTGCTCTAAGCATTCTTGTAAAAAGGTAGCGCGCAGCAAGAGTTGAGGCGATCAATATCCTGTCAAAATAGAACAAAATGGATTGGCTCGCTCGACACTCGACTAAACGATTTAGTAACCTACTCGACTAAATTTTTAACATCGGACACGTTTAGCTACTAAATAAAATACTCGCTACTCGATCGAGCTCGACTAAATTATTTGTTGACTAGTGCGAACAAGGCTTTAAATAAGCTAACTAAACGCTGTTAATTTTTGTGCTGGTAACATTGTCATTCCACGTCAACCGACATCTGACAGTTGCGTGTTGTGTGAGATTCGAGTTGTGTGGTTGTACTTTTTCCAAAATGATTACCGTACTAAATACTATTGATACCGGCCATGAAGATATGATACACGATGCCGAATTGGACTATTATGGATTGCGGCTAGCCACCTGCTCGTCAGATAATTCAGTAAAAATATACGACATCAAAAGTGGTACCCAAACACTTGCTGCCGACTTGAAGGGGCATTTCGGACCAGTGTGGCAGGTTGCCTGGGCTCATCCTAAGTACGGTAATCTCTTGGCTTCGTGTTCATACGATAGAAAAGTCATTATATGGAAAGAGTCCGGCGAATGGACCAAGCTATACGAATATACTGGACATGAGAGTTCGGTGAACTCAGTGGCGTGGGCACCGGCAGAGTATGGCCTGATACTGGCTTGCTGCAGTTCCGACGGCTCCATATCGATCATCACTAATGTGCTGGACAGTGGTAATTGGGATGTGAAGAAAATAACAGGTGCTCATGCTATTGGCGTCAACTCAGTCAGCTGGTGTCCTGCAATATCAGCAGACTTGAACTTAGACCCTCTCTCCAACAAAGATGCACCCAAGAGAATAGTATCTGGAGGATGTGACAATTTGATAAAGGTACAGATAACTTAGTAACATTTATTATTATTACTCAGTTCCTGTTTATTTTTATTCACAAGTTTTAGTTATGTTGCTAATACTTGAATATTTTTTGTGTATTTTAGATTTGGAGAGAGCAAGGAGACCAATGGATAGAAGAGAATCGCCTTGAGATGCACATGGACTGGGTCAGAGATGTAGCTTGGGCCCCCTCTCTTGGATTACAAAGGTCTATGATCGCCAGCTGCTCACAGGACAAGCGAGTGGTGATCTGGACTAGCGATGACAATGTTTCATGGACCCCCACCATTCTGAATACTTTCGATGATGTTGTTTGGAGCTTGAGCTGGTCACTGACCGGCAACATCTTAGCTGTCTCCGGAGGGGACAACAAAGTAAGCCTCTGGAAAGAGAGCCCTGACGGCCAGTGGTTATGTATAAGCGAGGTAGCCAAAGGATTAGGCCAGACCCCCAATGAAGAAAGAAGTACACTTTAAATTTATTTTTGTTTCTTTAATTCTAATTAATTTGTGTAATTATTTTGAGTTAGTATCTAATATAATTGTAAAATATACATTGTGATTATTAAATTCTTGTTTTATTTGTTGTTGATGTAGATCTATATTTGTGCTAAAAAAATATATATTTAAAATGAAATAGCTGTTGCAGCCATCTACTGTTTATTTAGTACTTCTCTAGTATTTTGTCTGTTGCAAGTTGCAGTTTTATTTACCAATGGCATAATAAATTAGACAATATTACAAGTTATTCTATTAACAATGGTATATAATAAATCCAAACAAGATATCATTATAAAAATATTTAATAACATAATCCTTAATCTAATTTGTTACACAATTCTTATTCTAATTATCACATGTTGGCCAGGTTGAACTGTATAAGCTCCATGAGCAGCGGCATGCGGTAGTAGCGCGCGATGGTGGCTAAGGTGTCGAGTTGCGCGCGCACCTCCCGCGCGGGCATTAGAGGCGCGAAGTCACCGGCGCAGTCGCACACCGTTGATAGGTTCTCGCGCTTTATCTGTGACAGATTGATTATTTTATGCTGTAGGCTATTTTATGTTTTAAATTAGAAGATATCTAAGATTGTAGTCAGAACTAAAATTCATGAATAATTTCTTTAAAAGAATAGATTTAATATATTTATTTTTGTGTAGGTGACTAAAGTACGGCCAACTAACAGAGATACAAAAGGTCGATACGACTGTCGAGTTGACAATATATTCTGTCTCTTCCCATCTTGTGTATTTGTTGTTATGTCTCGTTCTCCCGCCAAAATATGTGAAAGTCAGATGGGTTCGCCCATGACATTCGGTTTGTTTACATTTGGTATCGCTTCTCGTTGGCCGTACTTTAGGTATACATTTTAATTCAGAGTTTATTAGTAGATGAACGTGAAACACGTGAAAATGATGTTGTATCGTATTAAATAAACTCAATCTTTACTTACTAATATTACTAGGTGTGTTGTGTAGGCAGTGAAATGATCCACCAAGTCGACATTATTACTACTTTTTATGACATGATTGATTAAAGTTATCTAAAAACAGATTATAATACTGCTATACTTGTACTTATCTAAGTAATCATTTAGTTCCGGACTATTTCCTTAATGGGTACCAACCTGATGGCACCTGCTGCAGATGAGGTCTTGGAGCGTGTAGGTCATCGCTCGCCTGTTCATGGTCTCGATCAGTCTCCACTCCAGCTCTTGGTTGTCGTACGCCGTGCCGCAAGTCGGGCACACGCATACCGGCCTGAGAAGTGAAGCAACATTTACATAGTTATTTAGATATTATATTTTGTATATAAAATAGTAGTAAGTAGTAATTTCCAGTTTGCAATCCCTAGATAGATCATATGTAAACAATCTCGAGATCAAAATAAAGATCCGCAATAGTTCTAGATGCGGGCGACGCAGGAGCGGTTCTTGTGGAAATCCTTGGGGGAGGCCTTTTTCCAGCAGTTCGATAGTTCTCTATGCACATACTATACATAGTTCTGGATGCGGGTAGTGCAGGAAATCTTTGGGCCAGCAGTGGACGTTATTTTGCTGAAACGAACGATAGTTCTCTATACAACTACATCCGCTTTGCAATGGAGGGAAGTCGAACCTTAACTTCGAACTCCTCCTATGTTCTTTTGATTAATTTCGTTGCGGGTCCAATGACAGTTTAACTTTCCCCCGGGACAAACTTGACCTTCACTGGTTGGGTTTTTATTGGCGGTCAAGCTGTACTTCCCACCGCTGCAACTCCTGTGTAGCCAGGTTCCCACTGGGAACGAGAGGTGGGAATATGTAGATGCTGGCTACACGGGAGTTGCAGCGGTGGGAACGAGAGGTGGGAATAGTCCCCGTATATAACTACTCACACGTCGCCCTGCAGCGCGCGCCCGGGGTCGCGGCAGAGGTCGAGGTCGCGGCAGTGGTTGCACACCTTGCAGATGACCTCGCTAAGCACGCACGACGCGCACGGGTCGCGCCACTCAGCCAGTGAGCTGAACTCGCCGACGCCGATCAGGCGTAAGAGATTACGTCTGAGGAGGGTCACCTGGAAATGGAGATGGTTTTTAATGATAGTTTTCACAAGGAAATAATTTGGCAACACTGCTAAGTTTAATAAAACAAGTTGTTCAGTGCTGTCAAAGTCGAATGTAGCAGCGAGAGTTATTATTAACACGCACAAGCTAGGATTTGTGTATTATGTATCCGTAATTCTGTATACGCTCGTTGCGCTGATGTTCATGCGTAGTCTGACAAGCGGTTTTTGTCTCGCTTGTACATATTCGTTAAACTTGGCAAGAGCGAGGTAGCTAGTTAGTGTATTCGATATTTTAAATTGAATGTGTGTGAGCACTGTGTTCGCACCAACTTTCGCTGCGCGACCTGTTTTCAGATCTACAGCTATCGGGGTCCAGCCAGCCTGTCCTAAAGGTAACAACTGTAGGCCGCGCGTAGTGACGCACGCGGCTGTCCCTGTGACGTCACGTCCGCCCGCGTGGTGACGCACGCGGCTGTCCCTGTGACGTCACCTCGTGCTGCAGCGCCGCGTCCAGCGAGAGCGCCTTGCAGACGGCGGTGACGTACAGCAGCGCGGGCGTGGCGCCGGCGGGCAGCGCGTCCGAGCGGAGCCCCGGCTGTGACGTCACGTCCGCCCGCGTGGTGACGCACGCGGCTGTCCCTGTGACGTCACCTCGTGCTGCAGCGCCGCGTCCAGCGAGAGCGCCTTGCAGACGGCGGTGACGTACAGCAGCGCGGGCGTGGCGCCGGCGGGCAGCGCGTCCGAGCGGAGCCCCGGCTGTGACGTCACGTCCGCCCGCGTGGTGACGCACGCGGCTGTCCCTGTGACGTCACCTCGTGCTGCAGCGCCGCGTCCAGCGAGAGCGCCTTGCAGACGGCGGTGACGTACAGCAGCGCGGGCGTGGCGCCGGCGGGCAGCGCGTCCGAGCGGAGCCCCGGCTGCGGCGTCACGTCCGCCGCGCGTAGAGACGGCATGCGACTGTGGATCTTCTCTGTCACTCTGTGAAATGGAAGAATATTACAGGCAAATCTGTTTGGCTTAACTATAATTAAAAACTTTAGGGACCCCCGCAATAGCGTCTATTGAGCGTCATCGCTTGCGCAAGGTCGACGCGGCGCACCAACTCTATAACCAGAGTAAATACAAATGAGTAGGTCATCTTCATAGAAACGCCCGAGCACGGTTTGTATGTGAGCGCGCCAATACGTATGCGGCGCGCACGCACACACTGACAAAATTTAGCGTGGATTAGTAGTGAGGTGCGGCTACCGAACGCGAGATCTACGCAGCGCGCGCGGCGTCAACGCTGCGCAGGCGCTAGCAAGGTGTCGTTACGACGACACGCGAAAGACGCTAGTGTAAGGGGTCTCTTATTTGCTATCCTTCCTTTCAGCCAAATGACGTCCACTGCTGGACAAAGGCCTCCTCCAAGGTTTTCCACAATGCACGGTCCTGCGCTGCCCGCATCCAGGCTCTTCCCGCGACCTTTACCAGATCGTCGGTCCACCTAGTAGAAAGCCTGCCCACGCTACGTCTTCCAGCCCGTGGTCGCCACTCGAGAACTTTTCTGCCCCAACGGCCATCGTCTCTACGAGCTATGTGCCCCGCCCACTGCCACTTGGTTTTAGCAATTCTGCGAGCTATGTCGGTCACTTTGGTTCTCCTGCGGATCTCCTCATTTCTGATTCGATCACGCAGGAAAACTCCAAGCATGGCCCGCTCCATAGCTCCGCTTATTTGCTATACTTTGCGGTAATGAAAAATGGCTTATAAAATCTTGTTTAATGTTATTTGAAGTTGTATCAGGTAATCGACGCGGTGTGACATATTTTTTTTATTTTGCAAAGCTTGTCCAGTTGAGTTGCTTAAGATTAATGGTGACACCGACACCGCAGTAGGAAGTAGTCCTACTATAGTAGTGTATGAAGTTTCTGCACTGCTACTCACTGGAACAGCTTCTGAGCAATTTCTCCTTGTAGCAGCGCGGGCAATCGCGCGGGTTCCGAGTACGCTGCGCTCAGGAAGCCGGCTATAGCTGCCGTGAACTGCTCACGCACTGCCGCTGGTAGGAATTGGGCGAGGTTCCACTGCATCGTTATTGAGCCGTCCTGTAAATAATTAGGAGACATAAGTCCCAGAAATCGACACGGACGTTATCTATCTTTATAAATAAAAATGAATTGATGTTCGTTAGTCTGATTAAAACTCGAGAACGGCTGGGCCGATTGAGCTGATTTTGGTTTTAAAATGTTTGTCGTAGTCCAGGGTAGGTCTAAACGGTGAGCAAATACGCGCGCGATATTGTTTTTGTGACAAACAAAATTCAACGCGGGCGAAGCCGCGGGCGGGAAGCTAGTTATGAATAAATTAGGACTACGAAGCCAATGCAGGCACAAAAACGTAATTATGCTTTTTTATGCATCACAAGGCAGGTATTTGACCACAATCGCACCTGATGTTAAGTGGGATGCAGTCTAGGATGTACATATCTGCCCTGTAAGTGCCCATTCACTCTCGCCTTGAAAAGACCCGGATTATAGTCTTCGGGAAAGACAGCAGCAGGCAGCGAATTCCAGTCCCTAGTTGTTAGCATTACAAAGAAAAAAGAGTAAAGAGTCATCGAAGCGCTTTGTGGAGCTTGTCATCATCTTAAGTCTTAGTCAGCATTAGATTCAAATTATTATTGCTAGTCACATGATTAGAAAATTTTACAGATTAGCTAAAGTACAAGATATCTGAAAAGCCGTATAAAGGTGAACTAAAATGAACCTTACCTCATCTTCTCCGTTTTCTTCTGTCGAAGGCACTTGTGACGATCCAACTTCAACGAGGCCTTCAGGCAGTTTACCCTGAGTTCAAACAAAATCAATCAATAATACTCATTCCTGAATCTTTTGCTGGGTGAATAAAATAAACAAGATTCTCTTTTGTTGCCTGCATATAAGAGAAAAGTAATACCTGTATTCCAGCGTGGTTGGCCTCGTCTAACCAGAGTAGGTAGGACCAGCACTGCTTGTATCGGATGTCGATTCCGTGGAAGAGTTCTTTGTTCCTGATGCTTTGCACCACGAACTCCACGTAACCTGGCGATAAAAGTGATTACAACTTAAAAAAGGTTATTTGATGTTTAAGTTAAGTAACTAATAATTATTGAGGTTTAATAATATGGTGTAAATTATATCCCAACGGCCTCCAGACGATCAGATTAGATCAGAAGTCATGATGATTACGCAGAATCAATATCAGTCTACACTGTAGGAGGAAGACCCTTTCTATTTTACCAGAAGCAAAATGCAGGATGGGGCCACCGCTCGTCACTCTGGCTAGACGGGTTGGGGAGGTAGACGGATTAAACAAAATAAATCTCTCGAACATAGTCGTTAAGTTTCAAATTCACTCACCAATGCCATCAAGGACCGAATTCTTCTTAGTGCACAGCAGAATCTTGTTAAAATCCGCGTACACGATAAGCGAGCCCAGGCGCTTGAACTCTGCTACCAGCATAAGGAACAACTTCTTCATCAAGTTGTATAGAGTCCGCCGGAGCGCTGGGTCGTATAGCAGCGATGTAGGAGTCTTTAGCCATCTGACAAATAGATATTGTATTTATATTTTTAGCCGACAACTCTGAGTCACCATACTCCATAGTATTGTAGAGTGTAACTACAGGATGTTAGGTAAATTGCAGGGTTCGAAAATATCCGATATTTATTATAAATATCAAAATATCGGATATTTATGATATATATCGGATATATATCAACTTTGATATATATCAATTTTGTATGAAAGCCATACTATTATTTTATTGTATTATTCATGAATACTATTGCATAAGTGTTACTTAAACATGTTTTTAATGTTTTTAAAACTTAAAATAAAGCAAAAACATAAAATTTCTTTGAAATACGGCAAAATGAACTAAAAATATAAAAATCTTATGTCAAAAAGTACAAATACAGTAACAAATTTTAAAAGTTGATATATATCATTAAAACCGGCTTATATATCCCTTGATATACAGGGTGTTAGGTAAATGGGTATATGAGCCGAGACCAGCCCATGTTAACATAGTTATATAAATACTATAGTGGTGTCAGAAAGTCTGGGAAAGGTACCATTATTGAGTAATCAGCTGATTCAGTTTTTGTCGCCAAATTGCGTCGTGACACCCCTGAAAATAATAGTACGACAAACTAGCGTAGATAAAACAAATGACAGAATTCATTATAATTTTCTGCCTAAAAGTTTGTCTCTGAGAGGCAAAAACCTTAAGCAATCCCCCAGGAAAATCAGTCCATCTAAAAAGATTTAGCACAAGTCAAATACTCCCTTACCTTATTTGATTCGATTTGGATTTTGGATAAGTAAAAGTAAACAAAGTGGTCAAGAATTATTTTACTTCATTGACTGTAACTTACTTATTCAAATAAACTGAATAATCAGGACCGTTCATTGTGGACGTCATTCGGCTGAAATGTATGAAGGAACGAATCATTAAACTTGATAACTTTGATTAAGGAAAATGAGAAATTGTAGGTAATCATCTAAATTTTATCATCGTAAATCACGATATTGTGTACTAAAAATACCTTAACTAAAAATAAGACACCATTGAAAAAAAACCTTAGGCATTAAAGAAATGTGCCCAACGCACTGTTTAATCTTTGAAGGTCAACGAAAGGTCTTACAATGGAACCGGCACGTGTAGTGCGAGTGAGACGCAAGACGTATCGCACGGCGGCTTTCACTTGCAAGAAAGAGTCGGAAGATCATCGCGGCGCAGGAGTAAGGATGTGTAAGGAGGTGACATTGAAGGCTAAAAATCGATTAAGATTTTTGGTGGGTGAATCGACACCACCATACCACCGAAGGGAGACCCGGAGATCCCGTTCTTGAAAATAGGATTTCACTACAAGAACCTACCCGGTCACTTGAAAGCGTGGGAAGGTGAATAAGTGAGTGGATGGATGTGATAGATGTGTTGCGATTCGTTTTGTGAATTAGAGTGAAGTGTTACCCCCTGAATACCTTGGATTGCTTGCAGAGTCAATAAAAAGAGGTAAGTGAAGAATTGGTTCAAAAGTAATAATAAAAGTGCCGACTCGCGTCAAAATTTGTGAATGAAATACCGTTTGACCACGTTTGACCTAGGAGGGAGTTGCGCGATCGTAGGGCTGTCCAAAAATTAAAATAATAATAATTTATTTAGTTTTGTATGGGAAAATATTTTTTATTAAATATTACGATATCCACTTTCTGACACCACTATAGTATTTATATGAGTATGTTAACATGGGCTAGTCTCGGCTCATATACCCATTTACCTAACACCCTGTATATCCTCGAACCCTGGTAAATTGTAAATCAAACCGAAACTTAGCATGTTAACATAAGCATATAAAATACTAGCATTCCGCCCGTGGCTTCGTCCGCGTTGAATTTTGTCTGTCACAGAAAAACTTTATTGCGCGCGTCCCTGTTTCAAAAACCAGGATAAAGACTATGTCCTTTCCCAGGACTCAAACTACATCTCTATGCCAAATTTAATCAAAATCGGTTCAGTGGTTTAGACGTGAAAGCAAGACAGACAGACAGTTACTTTCGCATTTAGAATATTAGTATAGAGTATACATAGATAGTGAAATCAGAAATTAGGTATCATTTACCTAACACCCTGTATAAGGGTTGTTGTGAATTTTTCTGTCATATAAAAACCGAAAACCCCGAAAAGGTAAGAAAACCGGTTTTTCGGTTTCAGTGAAACCGGTTTTGTTACCCTATCTGCGCCGCCGTCGTAGCTCAGCGACGCGTCGCCACCTAGAATCGTGGTCGCCTTATCACCCTTACGGCTAAAATCGTCTGCCACGCGTCACACTGCTTTTCCAGTCGCAGCAAGCCACGTGTTCTGTTCATTCACTTATGTAACTTTTGAAAGCTCTTAGGTTACCTATTGTCAATGTTTACCTATAGAAGTGTGAGATCTGGAAGTCGGCGAAGACGTTCTTGTACTGCGTGACGTCACGCAGCCACGACGCGATCATGCCGCGCAGCACTTTGAAGGCGCCGCTCACCTGCGCCGCCTCGTCGTAGGTTAGGGATGCGTTGGCGCCTGTGAGATAATGGTGAGAGGTTTAGAAAATATTGACTATGATGGACTAAAAGTCATTCTTCAAACATTTCTCGGCCACGAGAGTTACTTGGGTTACTTGGGCTGAGTTGCACTTTGTCCGTAACTGACGAAAACCGGTGTATTTTGTATGGAGTTTGACAGATTTTTGACTTTTGTTAAAGTTAAAGTAAGATGGTGCAACCCAGCCTTAGACATGATGACATGGTTGCTACATAAAAGCTGTTATTGAACCAATTCATCACTATTTCAGCCACAGGACGTCTACCTACTGCTGAAAATAGGCCTCCCCCAATTATTTCCACATCGCCTGGTTGGTAGCGGCCTGCATCCAGAGCAGCGTCTTCCTGCTATCTTTATAAGGTCCTCGTTCCAAATTGTGAGTGGACGTCCCACGCTGCCTTTTTCGGTACATACGTGGCCTCCACCCCAGAACCTTGCTGCCCCATTGGCCGTCAGTTCTGCGTACTGAATCCATTATGATTTGAGATTTAAAAATATTCCTAACGTCTTCTTCCCTCTATGTTCTTCTGATTTAACTTTCCCCCGGGACAAACTTGACCTTCATTGGTTAGGTTTTTATGGTGGTCAAGCTGTACAGGCTACACAGGAGTTGTAGCGGTAGGAACGAGAGGTGAGAATAGTCCCGATTCCTAACGTCAAATGGGTTATGTTGAAAACGACATAAAGAATTACGAAGTAGGTAGAGCTACTGCAGTGCTGCGCTTGTAGCAGCGCGCACACGGCCAGCGCGTCGCTCTCTAGTCCGCGCACAGTGCAGGCGCCGCGTGAGTGCAGCGCGCTAGTTACCGGTGTGGTGCAGCGCCTGCTGGATGCTGGCGTGCTGCGCGCCGAAGGAGGTGGCGGCGCTGGTGCCCTCGGCCTGCAGCACGTGCTGCGCTTGTAGCAGCGCGCACACGGCCAGCGCGTCGCTCTCTAGCTCCACGCACACGGTGTTGTAGGCGCCGCTCGCGTTGTGCGTGCAGCCGGATAGTTCCTCCACTTCGCTCACTAATCTGTTGAAACGATGTCATTTTGTTCATGCTTTATTCAGTTTTATTTCGAGTTTAGTCAGTGACAGTATGTGGCTAAGTTCAGAGAGATTATAAATTATTACATAGGTACCGTTTACATAATCGATCGTTTTTTACCCATCACCGGTGCCTCTTAAATGATGCGAGCGCGCTTATTGAATTAATTAAATCAAGTTGGCTCGCCCTGAAGTAGATACACGCGACTTATGACGTGCGATTTTTCCCTTCGGTGGAAGAAGTGCAATGACATCTGAATTTCTGTGACGCCTTGGACGCGCGTTATCGCACGCGGAAACTCACGTGTAGTATGCAATATGGCGTGGACGCGTGAGACAAGTTTACACATTTGTGGGGCGAGCGAATGCTGAGTGCGAGTGTGCCTTATGCGCGAGCGCACGGGCTCGGAGCGCAAATCCGTATCGAACGTGCAATCGTGCACTCACGCAAGTTTTAGCGCACCCTATAAAAGTTTATAGATAGACAATAGTATAGTCTGGTCTGCGAGCACGTAGAATTTTGTCCAATGACCCCAAGCTACCCATCCTTATCGCTCGCGCGTAATTATATTGCTGTCGCGCTTACACACTCACTGCGGGCGCCCGTCGCACAGTCGCGAAAGCAGTATAATTACGCGCGAGCGATTCAACGTACAAAATTCTACATGCTTATAGACCGGGCTTTACTTACCGGTTGTCGTCAGTCTCCCGACCGCCCAAGTCAGGGCGCTCGAGGTTGGAACACCACAGTACGAAGTTGTGCTTGACCAGGTGCCGCGCGTAGAACAGGTCCGCGCCGAACAGCGTCGGATCCGCTGGCATGTTGCCTAGAGGCACGTGGAAATATCTGCCAAGGGGAAGATAAGTCAGTACTTACAGTGGGCCACAGTTCCAGCTACCCATTTCCGTTTTTTCTCTCGCTCCCATCAAATGGTGATTCTTTGCGATAGAACGAGACGACATGACCGGAAATGGGTAGCTGAAACTGTGCCAATAGCAAGGATAGCATAAGTTATAAAATAGGAAAATAAAGTACTTCGAAAATAAGAAGATTATAGCTTCTAAGAGAAAGATGTAAATGAGTTTTCTTCTTCTTCTTCTCAGTATAGGGCGACCCTATTAGTCGTTATTTTACCGCTCTCTTCAGAACTAAGGGGAGCGAGGGAAACGGTGAAACCCAAAACAGAGACTCTTCAGGTAGGTTTACACTAGGAGAGCCGAGCACGAGCAGAGCATGCGCATGCGTATAGTTTTGAGTTTTGGCCCGACTTATGTACCAGATTCGAACGAGCGTGCTTCGAGCATTTGGCTCGTGCTCGACTATGCTCTTTGTTGTCAGGGTTTTGAGGAACACAAATGGATTTGCAGGAGAGTGATTGTTGTAGGCTCGTTGCACGTCTACACTTGACACAACGTGTTGAGCGACTCGGCTTGCGCTCAGCTCGTACTCGGCTTGTCTAGTATACACCCGTCTTTGGTCAACATCTCACTTAATGGAAGAACATATCAACTGTCTGCATCGTCTTATTATACCCACCTGCATTGCTCTACAGTCAATTGCAACGCGGCCTCTAGACTCAAGTAGTGGCGCACGATTGCGCGCGCGCCGACTTTCTGCCACTCTAGCGTGTTGTAAAGCGTTTCTACGTCACGCACGTGTAACGGCACCAGAGGGAAATCCGATAGACCTGTAAAAAGTAATTGTTTAGTCAAGTTTTAACACACATTTACATTATACCTGAACAATTAGAATTATACTTGGCACAACAATCAATTGACATACTTTTTAAGAGCTATCAAAACTCACCAATCCCATATACACTCGCGAGCAAAAGTATGGAATCACCCTATTTGTTATGAACGATCGTAAGAACTAAACTGGATCGTGCCTTTTCACACGTTCCGGTTGCCGGCTATCCGGCGCCGGGTACCCGGTGGTGAAGTGTATGGGCATGGTACGTAGCTTTCACATGTTCCGGCGTAATTAACCCGGCAAGCGGTCGCCGGGTGCGCGCCGGATCCACCACTGTACGTCCGGTCGCCGGGCATCGGTTAGCCGGCGGCCGAACTGACAGTGGTGTATGGAACACGCAACTAGCTTTCACACGCGCCGGCCGGTCAGTCGTCCAGGTACAGTCTGCGAGAGTTGCTGTTTGAGTAACTTAGTAGTTTCATACAACTGTACTAGATGGCGCTGTTCGTCTTTAGCACGCGATATTAAAGTTTTTTTTCCGATCAATATAGGTCTTGAGAAATATTTTGTACTTAAGTTTTGCAAGGTTGAATAAACACCTCATTTCGTATTCGTTCGTTTTATTTTTGGGAGGACCTCAAGTAGGCGGTTCATGGTCCTCCCGAGCCGGTTCGCGAAATAGATAGGTAGTCGTAGTAAAAGTCGTGTGTATGTACGTACAGTAGTGCAACAACAGTGGTGCGTAAGAAAAACCTGAGTGATTTAAAAAGTGTTTTAGTGGTGTCAAAATCAAGTGACGTTAGCTGTCAGACTCAAGTGACATTTAAAGTGACGTTAGCTGTCAAACTCAAGTGACATTTAAAGTGACGTTAGCTGTCAAAGTGAAGTGAAATAAAAACTCTGTGAACTTAAAACTATCAGTGTTGCCAGTGTNTGAGAAATATTTTGTACTTAAGTTTTGCAAGGTTGAATAAACACCTCATTTCGTATTCGTTCGTTTTATTTTTGGGAGGACCTCAAGTAGGCGGTTCAGTTGCAGTTTCACATTTTTGTTAAATGTAATTTTTTCGTTAAGATACCATGAGCATTGTTAAATACACAATAAAGTTATTTATTTATTTATTTATTATTATTATTTTGTATCCTGACGTTGCAAAGAGTTCTTCAAACGGTTATGTAATTCATCAAAAGTAGTTGTACTTGAAAAACCTGTCTTCATGTGCTCGTAGATCTGGGAATAATGTATAGAATGCACCTAATGCTTCTCTTTTCATATTAATTGTATGAACCCAATAATTTCTTGATATTTCTTTCCGGCGCAGATATTTTCGTCTTCGATATTTATTTATTTTATGCATAACAAGGCAGGTATTTCATCACAATCGCACCTGATGTTAAGTGGGATGCAGTCTAGGATATAAAAGCCACATTGCAATTATTTGTTCACGGTCCATCTTTGAAAGTATGAAATGAACGAGACTGTACTCTTGTCGGCTCTCTAGTCGATACTGCCGTCATCAACCGGGGCGTGTGAAAGCTCATTTGACGCCGGGTAGCCGGCGCTGGTTAGCCGGCAACCGGGACGTGTGAAAAGGCACTAATGGTGACATATTTGTCAACTACCCAACTGCTCCATTTAAAGATTTATGGTTTCAAGAAACTAATTTTCATGGGCGTATAATAGCTAAAGACTGATTGAATAATTTAACAAGCAGGTCTAATTTTCACAAGTGCAGAAGTTTGCAAAGTGGCTCTTTGAAAACAACATAAGGTGCAGGCTAGTTATAACACTCACCAGGCATAAGCGCCATAAGCGTGGGCGTGGACAACGCAGCCTGGATAGCCAGCAGCGTGGGATCACACTTCTCGTCGCGGTACCGCTGCAAGGCTCGCTGGACCCCGCGCCATACTGCGCGCGCTTCTGTTTCTACTGTCACTTACCTTAGTAGAACCAACATAAGGTCAGGCTAGTTATAACACTCACCAGGCAGGTACTACAAGGCTCGCTGGACCCCGCGCCATACTGCGCGCGCTTCTGTTTCTACTGTCACTTACCTTAGTAGAACCAACATAAGTACAGGCTAGTTATAACACTCACCAGGCAGGTACTACAAGGCTCGCTGGACCCCGCGCCATACTGCGCGCGCTTCTGTTTCTACTGTCACTTACCTTAGTAGAACCAACATAAGGTGCAGGCTAGTTATAACACTCACCAGGCATAAGCGCCATGAGCGCGGGCGTGGACAACGCAGCCTGGATAGCCAGCAGCGTGGGATCACACTTCTCGTCGCGGTACTACAAGGCTCGCTGGACCCCGCGCCATACCGCGCGCGCTTCTGTTTCTACTGTCACTTACCTTAGTAGAACCAACATAAGGTACAGGCTAGTTATAACTCACCAGGCATAAGCGCCATGAGCGCGGGCGTGGACAACGCAGCCTGGATAGCCAGCAGCGTGGGACCACACTTCTCGTCGCGGTACCAAGGCTCGCTGGACCCCGCGCCATACTGCGCGCGCTTCTGTTTCTACTGTCNGACAAAATTGGAATTAAATCTAACAATGTAATTATTAGCGGTTAGTTAGCTATTGTTTCAGTCACATATTTCGTTTTGCCTATGTAATAAGACTAAAGTTTTTTTTTAAGGCTTAAATTTGGGAGGAGTGTTGTAATATTCAAATTTCGCGCCTTCTGCTAAAATGACAGGAGCTGTCTCATATGTCAAGTTTATTTTTTTTTGTTTTTCACTCTACTCTGTGAACATTACTAGCAGACACGATTGTAAAGAAACTAAATAAAGTATTTGCTATTTCTCAAGTTAAAACTACTTATTTTCATTAAAAATCAACATAAATACAGAAAAAAGAGTATTTTACAATACGCCTAAAGAGGGTTGTGTACTTTGTGGCGAAGACCACTATGTTTACAAATGTCAAGGCTTTATACAAATGTCCATTCAAGACAAGAAAGCATTTATTGAGAAGAATAACCTTTGTTTCAATTGCATGATACCTAACCATGCAGTGAAACAATGTAAACAAAAGTCAAGATGTCGCATTTGTGGAAAACGCCATCACACGCTCATTCATACTGAGTATCACAACAACAAACCTCCTGAAAATAACGAACGACAAGACAATTCAACCCAAGGATACAAAGAGACACAAAACACACAGACAAAAGAGAGAGAAAACATAGCAACACATTACGCAATGGAAGCTGGAGTCCAACATACAACTAACATCTTGTTAGCCACGGCACTTGTCAAGGTGACCGCTNATTGGAGAAAAAATTCCAAAATAATTCTGACTTTTTTAAGGCCTATAAAGCATTTATTGAGGAATTTCTTAAACTTGGCCATGCTCACTTTGTTCATATTGTTTGAGTAACTTAGTAGTTTCATACAACTGTACTAGATGGCGCTGTTCGTCTTTAGCACGCGATATTAAAGTTTTTTTTCCGATCAATATAGGTCTTGAGAAATATTTTGTACTTAAGTTTTGCAAGGTTGAATAAACACCTCATTTCGTATTCGTTCGTTTTATTTTTGGGAGGACCTCAAGTAGGCGGTTCATGGTCCTTCGAGCCGGATCGCGAAATAGATAGGTAGTCGTAGTAGAAGTCGTGTGTACGTACAGTAGTGCAACAGTGGTACGTAAGAAAAACCTGAGTGATTTAAAAAGTGTTTTAGTGGTGTCAAACTCAAGTGACGTTAGCTGTCAGACTCAAGTGACGTTAGCTGTCAAACTCAAGTGACATTTAAAGTGACGTTGGCTGTCAAAGTGAAGTGAATTAAAAACTGTGAACTTAAAACTATCAGTGTTGCCAGTGCAAATAAAATACCGAATTTAGTTATTTTGGACAAATATTCAGTTCCCTTACAAAAATTAAATTAACTTGAACTTTGAATCTAACAGACAGTTTTAAATACGCAAAATGGAAAAAAGTGCTGAACATAGTGTCTATGAACAATTAAAAAAAATACAACTAGGCTTACAAATACAAATAGAAAAAACACATACTAACTTTAAAAAAGTACCTAAAGACCGTTTATCATGGAATTACATCGAGATGAAAATAAACTTACTTGATCAATTGTGGGAAAAGTTTCAAAACAATCAGATTAAATTGATCGAAAACACGGATAGTGACGAATCACAAGATGACACCATTTTCAACACATATAGCGAAGTCGAAGATGAGTATGTGAGCACAAAGGAAACGATGTTGAAAAAACAGTGTGAATATCCACGTCCAACTAAATCCAACGATGGAACTGAAAACAAAGATTCAGAAATTTCAACACAACAAATTAAACTTCCTCCAATACAGATTCCAAGCTTTGATGGAAGTTACTATAACTGGATTCCATTTTCTGATCAGTTTGTTTCACTTGTACATAACAACAAGTCTCTTAGTAAAGTCAACAAACTACATTTACTGAAACAAAACTTAAAAGGAGAAGCCGCAACTTTACTTAAACACATACCTGTCACTGAAGGCAATTATGACTCAGCTTGGTTAAAACTGAAGGATAGATACAGCAACAAAAGAGTTATAATAAATTCATATTTGCAAAGATTGATGTCACTTAAAATTATAACAACTGAAAATGCGATCCCTATCAAGAATTTATTAGACACAACAACGGAATGTTTGAGCGGATTAAAAGGCATCGGAGTAGACACAAGTTCTTGGGACCCAATGATAGTTTACCTACTGACAAGCAAGTTAGATAATGAATCCTTAAAAGGTTGGGAACAAGAAATAAGCAAATACGATAACGAGACACTACCAACATTCGAAGACCTTTCAAAATACTTAGAATCAAGATTTAGATCACTGGAAAGAATTCAATCAACAAAAGGAAACTTACGTACATATACAAAACCTACGACTATAAATACAGAAAAAAGAGTATTTTACAATACGCCTAAAGAGGGTTGTGTACTTTGTGGCGAAGACCACTATGTTTACAAATGTCAAGGCTTTATACAAATGTCCATTCAAGACAAGAAAGCATTTATTGAGAAGAACAACCTTTGTTTCAATTGCATGATACCTAACCATGCAGTGAAACAATGTAAACAAAAGTCAAGATGTCGCATTTGTGGAAAACGCCATCACACGCTCATTCATACTGAGTATCACAACAACAAACCTCCTGAAAATAACGAACGACAAGACAATTCAACCCAAGGATACAAAGAGACACAAAACACACAGACAAAAGAGAGAGAAAACATAGCAACACATTACGCAATGGAAGCTGGAGTCCAACATACAACTAACATCTTGTTAGCCACGGCACTTGTCAAGGTGACCGCCGAGAACGGACGTACACTACAACTACGAGCACTTATCGATCAAGGGTCTGAAGGATCATTCATCACCGAGAAAGCTGCACAAGACCTGGGTCTTAAAAAACGTACAATAAACGGCACAATCAGCGGCTTAGGAAATAATGTCATGATGCACACTAAACACATAGTAACATTGAATCTACAATCAGAATATGACAGAACATTCAAACTCCCAGTAAAGGCATATGTGCTAAGGTCATTGACCCGTCTTCTACCGTCAAGACAAGTTGACATGCAATGGAAACACATACAAGGTTTACAACTAGCTGATCCACATTACGGCACACCAGCTTCAATAGATCTTCTTCTTGGAGCTGAAGTCTACAGTAACATTATATTGGAGGGTGTGAAACCTGGGTCTCATAATACACCATTAGCACAGAATACTAGACTCGGGTGGATTTTATCTGGAGAGATCAACTTAACTTATGCCAATGACTCAAAACATAACGTAATCAACATGCACATATCAACACATCAAGAAGATAACGACATTTTACAAAAATTCTGGGAACTTGAATCTGGAGACACATACAAAAACAAAAAACAATTAACTGAAGAAGAACAAAAATGCGAGACAATCTTTGAAGAAACATACACCAGAGACAGTAAAGGAAGATACATAGTTGAGATTCCATTTAAACAGAAGAATTTAGACTATGGCAACACGAAACAAATAGCAGAGAAAAGATTAGAATACCTAGAGAAGAAACTTGACAAAGACAAGGAACTGAAGACAGAATACACAAGAGTTTTGATGGAGTATATGCAACTGAACCACATGGAAGAAATAACCAATAACGAGAACGAGAACACATGTAATTCATTTTACATGCCTCATCACGCTGTGCTAAAACCAGAGAAAACAACATCTAAACTAAGAATAGTATTTGATGCATCATGCAAGGGTCCTAATGGAAAATCCCTCAATGACAACATGTTAATTGGCCCTAAACTACAGCAAGATTTGAGACAAATTGTTATGAGATGGCGTAAACCTGAAATCGCCTTTACATCAGACTGTGTTAAAATGTATCGTCAAATTAAAGTAACCAATGAGAGTGCTAACTATCAGAAAATTTTATGGCGAGTAAACGGTGAATTAAAGGAATTTCGACTTACCAGAGTTACATTTGGCACAGCTTGCGCACCTTATCTTGCTACAAAAACTCTCCAACAACTAGCAGCAGATGAAGAACAGAATTTCCCCATAGCTTCTAAAATTGCAAAAACAGACTTTTACATGGACGATCTACTTTCTGGAGCTGACAACTTAGAAGACGCCTTTGAAATTTATTCCCAAATGACAAATTTAATGAATGCTGGAGGATTTCAATTGCAAAAGTGGGCAAGTAACAAATCAGAGTTTGAGGAACAAATAGAAAATGGTGATTCCAAAACAGATGAAGCGTACATACTGAAATCAGAAACTATTATAAAAACTTTGGGAATCAGATGGAATAAAAATACAGACAAATTTCAGTATGACATAAACTTACGACCTCCAACGAATCATGTCACAAAAAGATTTATTCTTGGTGAAATATCACGACTATTTGACCCGATGGGATGGCTGGCTCCGGTTGTTGTGGTAGCTAAAATAATCATACAAAAATTATGGTTGGCTAGAGTTACATGGGACGAAGATGTTCCAAAAGATATAGAGACAGAATGGTTCAACTTCTGCAATGACCTGGAACAAGCAAAAAATATATACGTAAATAGATGGTTAAACACAAACAACAATGATCTAAAGATAGAATTGCATGGTTATAGTGACGCATCACAGAGTGCGTACGCAGCAGCCGTTTATTTACGAGTCGTCAAGGCTGACGGAACCATACACGTTCGCCTTATTACAGCAAAAACTCGAGTCGCACCAATCAAGACCGTCTCCATACCAAGACTCGAATTATGTGGTGCTGTACTTTTGACAAAATTACTACACGAAACAGCTGAATGCCTTGATGTAGCTCCTGCTGACATTCATGCTTATACAGACTCGACTATAGTATTAGCGTGGCTACAATGCCACCCTTCAAGATGGAAGACATTCATTGCTAACCGAACCTCTGAAATATTAACTGTCCTACCTGCGACATGTTGGAGCTATGTAGAGTCGACGCAAAATCCTGCTGACGTGGCTTCTCGCGGAGCTCCCCCAAGTCAACTCTTGCAATCTGACTTGTGGTGGTCAGGACCTGAAGAACTTCTGAAAAAAGAACTCACATACAAGCAATTAAAGGAGAACACAACAGACCTGGAAAAGAAAAAAGAAAGGATTAATGTTTTCAAAAATACAATAACAGAAAATGAAGACTTTGATTTACTTCGGAGATATTCAAGTTTAACAAAACTATTACGAGTAACAGCATACATACTAAGATTCTTTACCAAGGAAAAACCAAGAGAAATACATCTAACAGGAATAGAAATAAATAAAGCCAGAGAAGTATGTATAAGATTATGTCAAAAAGAAGTGTTTCAAGATGAAATTGAAAGAATATCTACAAATAAAAATGTTAGAAAGGACAGTAAACTTCGTAACTTAAACGTCTTTCTAGACAACAAGGGAATTCTAAGAGTGGGGGGGAGATTACAACAAAGCAACTTACCTGATTGTACTAAACACCAAATAATCCTACCTGGAAATCATGCATTTACGAAATTAATACTTACCGATTACCACATACGTACCTTACATGGCGGTCCAACGATGGTTTTGAGTAACGTCCGCAGACGATACTGGATAGTTCATGCTAAGAGCCTCGTTCGACAAGTAGTTCACCAGTGCATGAAATGTGCTAGATTCCGAGTCAACTCTAGAACCCAGATGATGGGGTCCTTGCCTGATGCCCGTGTTACACCCTGTAAACCTTTTTTGCACAGTGGGGTCGATTTTGCAGGACCAATTGACTTGAGACTTTCAAAGGGTAGAGGTTGCAAAACACAGAAAGGTTATATAGCCATTTTTATTTGTATGGTGACCAAGGCCATACATATTGAAATTGTCACATCTTTAAATACTCAAGATTTTGTCGCAGCTTTCAAACGCTTCGTTGCTAGGCGAGGAAAATGTTCAGACATGTGGAGCGATAATGGGACGAATCTAACAGCTGGAAATAAAGAACTTAGAAAATTATTTGACAAGAGTACCGAAAATTTGCAATCAGAAGTGAAGAACATCCTGGCTAACGATGGTACTACATGGCATCACATACCACCTTCAGCTCCGCACTTCGGTGGCCTGTGGGAGGCTGGGGTGAAGTCAATTAAATTCCACCTAAAACGTGTTCTTGGAAATACTACGCTAACATACGAGGAGATGTCTACAGTCACTTCACAGATCGAGGCATGCTTAAACTCTCGACCAATATCTCCAATGAGTGATGATCCTACAGATTTGTTGCCATTGACCCCTGGTCACTTTCTTCTGGGTGAATCTCCAACTATCGTTCCAGAGGAGAGCTATTTGGATTCAAATATTAATCGACTAACGAGATGGCAGCTAACACAAAGAATGTTCCAGGATTTCTGGAAAAGATGGTCGAGTGAATATTTATCACGGCTGCAACAACGACCTAAATGGATGACCAAACAACCGAATTTTAAGACCGGAGATCTAGTTTTATTGAGAGACGATAGTTTACCACCCTCCAAATGGTCACTAGGAAGAGTAGTAGAAATCTACCCCGGTGAAGATAATTTAGTGAGAGTGATATCAGTGAAGTGTAAAAATTCAATTGTTAAGAGACCAATTACCAAAGTGTGTTATCTTCCAAATTAGTGAATTTTGTTTACTTATGGACGTTTAAATAGAGACTTTAAAAACCTTTATTATTTCATATNTTTCATATAGTAATGTATTTAGTAGGTACTCACAAATTGTTACATTTATGAAGGACATCACGATGTCCTTGGCCGGCGATATGTTTGAGTAACTTAGTAGTTTCATACAACTGTACTAGATGGCGCTGTTCGTCTTTAGCACGCGATATTAAAGTTTTTTTTCCGATCAATATAGGTCTTGAGAAATATTTTGTACTTAAGTTTTGCAAGGTTGAATAAACACCTCATTTCGTATTCGTTCGTTTTATTTTTGGGAGGACCTCAAGTAGGCGGTTCACATANGCGGTTCAGCCTCTGAATAAGATTATCCGATATATAACTAGGGTTGTCACTCAAGAGTAGTTGTGGTAGGTCTTTTTCTTTTAGATATTTAAGAGCACCTTCAAAATCGGTTCTCGTAGTTGTTTTAGGTGGGGTTTGGTTGCTTTTCAACCTGGCTATAGAAAGAAAAGTAGTAAGGTGATCGTTAGATAATAGACGTGTTGATGATGGCAATGAAAGCGGAATGTCGCTTCTTATTTATTCTCAACATAAAGTGGTCAAGACATCTTTTATCCCGAGTAGTCAGCATGTGACCGGGGAAAATACCATATGCTGTTAACATATCTAGGTAGGAGTTCCTGTTTTTAAACTCATATGATTGCTCGTTATCAGTGGGTGTTATGTTTATATTGATATCGCCTGCAATTGTAATATTTTTTTGAGAGCTTAAGGTGGCTAGATGACTTGACAGAGAGGTAATGAACGATTCCGCAGAGTGATTGGATGGAGAGCGATAGATACCTAATATGGAGTTTTCGAGGATGTCTATTTGTAGACCAGAAGCGTGCGTAAGGTTTAGTTCAGCAACGTTCGATGACAGTGTATTCTTAATGTAGACGACTACTCCATCATTCTGGTTTAGGTGACGAGTGGTTCTATAGGATTGATAGTTAGTTAATGTGGGCACAGACTTGTCTGGATGTAGTCTGCATTCGGTCAATATTATAATGTCGACCTCAACATTAAAGGATGACAAATTAATTAGCAGATCGTCAAAGTTACAATATATGCTTCTTATGTTCTGTGAAATAATATTGAGATCTGTTTTGTGTATGTAATGATGCTTAGTCAGATCATTCCAGTCACACTTGATAGATTTGGCTATGTTCATATTATCAATCTCACTTATGGCCTGTGTTCTGTCACCCATTTAGGAGTACAATAGAGTACACTAGTTTTATCATAAGTAGGGTTTTTTTTCGTAAATTACATTCTGCCTTTGTTTGTTGGGTATAAATAAAGACATAGTGAACCCAGGATTCTGGGTATTAATTTGATATTATGCATTGAGATAATTGGCTTGGTTTCATGTGTGGTTTGTATGGATTTTGTTTTGTATATGTTGTGGTGAGTGTCATTTGGCAATATTGTGTTGAGTGGCAATGTAAGTGTGTGTATCTTGTGTGTTTGGTTTTTACTATAATACAGATGTTTCTTAAGTAACATTATATATAAGTAGATTTTTACAGAAACTATATTTAGTAGCAAAATAATACATTCATGTTTGAGAATATGAGCAATAATAGTACAATATGAACAATACGAGAGTAAAGTATTGTATACGAATAGAGGCAATATAACATTCAGCAGATAAAAGTGACAAAAAACAGGTACATATGTTGCTATGTTTTTAGATAAGGAAATATTCAGATGCAGATTCGTTACTAGGTAATTGTTAACTTAAGGCAGCAGACCGACATATAGTCAGGTACCCTGAATAAGCTGTTGAACCTGCGTCTCAGAATGTATTTTTATTATGGGAGAGGTCTCATCTTTTCTTACATATACAACACCGTAGGCGGTCCAGCAAAATTTGTATGATCGAGACTTCACTAAATCGCGAGCAAGGAAATGTAGTCGCGACGCTTTTGCAGTGAGTTGTTCAGTTACAAATATGGGGGTATCCTCGTTTGTCCGAAGGCCTAGATGCTTAGCACACAGTTTTGATTTATGCTTGATGTTGAATGATTTACACGACTTAAGAATGTCTGTTTTAACAATAACCGAAGCAGTCTCGACGATTATCGGCGAGTTTTGGGTTGCTTCGTTCCTACTACGAATCCTGTATATGTCACTAATGTCTCTTTTATCCATTTGAGATCCCACGGTTCCGGACAGTGTGACAACCATGTCCACTAAATCTTCTTTTGTTTCATTACTTCGTTTAGGCACATTTTTGATCTCGAAATTAGACTTTCGACTGGTTCTTTGCAAATCCTTAATTTTATCCTCTAGTATTGTTATATACTTTTTGTCTTCCTTCGCTTGTCCCTCTAGTCTAGTTATTTGCTTTTTAAAATCTTCATTTTGCGCCATTAAAAAAGCAATGGACTCACGGATGTTTTTATTGGTTTTTTGTATGTCTTTAAGTGTAGGGTTAATATCTTTGGTGTGTTTCTCTATAACTGAAGTCATCATACTTCTCATTTCCTCCTTAAAATTATGTAAATCCAATGACCAATCCTCTTCCCTTCAGAAGAAGGGAACATTCGCACCAAGAGAACTTGGTGCGAATGTTTACATTATGAGAGTCATCCATACTTAAGTCTGGGGCCGACCCACCAAAGTGAACTGCGGCCGATACGGGGTGCTCCTGACTGGATGCCGGTGATACGGGTGGTGTCCTTTTTAACGGCATTTTGTCTGTATATTATGTATCTGTATGTTATGTATGATAGTTAGAATAAAGCTCCAATAGTCGGTCTTAAGATGCAAAGTTTGTACATTAACCGCAGTCACTGTCCGTAGCAGGTCCGTAGCACTTTCGTAGTTCTCGTAGCGTGATGAGGCGTAGCGCAAGTCGTAGCACTCGACGAAAAAGGTCGTTTATTTCAACGCGGCGGCTCACTACTCACGTGGCGCAGTTGGTACAGGCCAAAAGCAAGGCGGCGACGATCGAGCGGCCCCCGGTTCAAATCCCGCCAACACGCAAAAAGACCAGACGGTCTGACGCGACGTATGGGGGCTTCGAAGTCACCAGATGCACCGGCTCACAAGACGGGCGAAGTCCGAGGGCGCAGCCCGAGATTCTTGATTTATTCGTCAACACTCCGAAAAAAAATCACACACGTCCACACAGTACGACGCCCGGAGGCAGAGAGGTATTGAAAAAAAACATTGCAGTTCTTAGGTAGACCAAAGTGAAAATGTTTATAAGTTGTTGGTATAAGCTTCTGTTTTGTAACTATGGAATGAAGCTGGTATACTGGTTTAAATTAAACCTTATCACGAGACCAGAATAGCGTAGAAAGCGGAAATAATTCGCTGTTGTTTGTTTTGGACAAAATTGCTGTAGCAATCGCTGGTCGTCGCTGCTGTTCATAAGGATGACCGAAATTGAAACTGCTGATGTGTTTTGGCCCTCAAAACCTAAAGGTAGGATTACTGCTATTAAATATCTGATATAATCATAATTTTGGTGTTTATCATGCCACCGTTCAATAAAGCTGCTGCTCAAAAAATTGCGACAGTTGCACTACTACTGTAGGGTGTTGGTGATATTTGCGCACGCGCACACATACAGTAACCGGATTGTGTTGAGGAAAAGAAGTGCGTGAACCGGTTACCCCACACAGAGGCAAATATTCGAAAATAATATTTGAACATTTAAATAACATTTTCTTGATTTAGATTTTATTTATTTATTTTATTTATTTATTATTAGGCATACACAACAAGTAACAATCACAAATAATATATAAAGAAAGTAACTTATGCTTAGATCTAGATCATCACTCAAATAACGTGTACACACAGCATGGTTAAAATATTGCGTAAACAGTATTATATTGTCTTAATTAACAGAAATAAACAGTAACAAATAGGTAACAATACTAGCTAATTAAAGATTAAATTCCTTATTCCTATTGTAATTTTAATTTAATTTATGGACTTGTATAAAAGTTTTAAATAAATACATCTTATCATTTTGTGTATTTTTCTTTTCAACCGACTTCAAAAAAAGGAGGAGGTTCTCAATTCGACCCGTATGTTTTTTTTTTTTTTNACCAGGCATAAGGGCCATGAGCGCGGGCGTGGACAACGCAGCCTGGATAGCTAGCAGCGTCGGGCCGCACTTCTCGACGCGATAAGCATTATATTAAGATAGTTAATAAGTCAATTAACACTGTTTGCTTTCCGAATAAAGTAAAATAAAATAAATAAAATACCGCTGCAAGGCTCGCTGGACCCCGCGCCATACTGCGCGCGCTTCTGTTTCTACTGTCACTTCCCACTTTAGTAGAACCAACATAAGTACAGGCTAGTTATAACACTCACCAGGCATAAGCGCCATGAGCGCGGGCGTGGACAACGCAGCCTGGATAGCCAGCAGCGTCAGGCCGCACTTCTCGTCGCGGTACTACAAGGCTCGCTGGACCCCGCGCCATACCGCGCGCGCTTCTGTTTCTACTGTCACTTACCTTAGTAGAACCAACATAAGTACAGGCTAGTTATAACTCACCAGGCATAAGCGCCATGAGCGCGGGCGTGGACAACGCAGCCTGGATAGCCAGCAGCGTCGGGCCACACTTCTCGTCGCGGTACCGCTGCAAGGCTCGCTGGACCCCGCGCCATACTGCGCGCGCTTCTGTTTCTACTGTCACTTCCCATGTTAGTTCCGCGCCGGGTAGTGTGCTTTCGTCGGTGCCGAGATTTATTCTATGAAAAAGATAAGAATAGAACCATTTTTATTTTAGTAGGTATAATAGTGAGAGTGCTGAAACTTGAATTTTAAACTTGAGGCAGTATTATAACAAAAACTATACAACTCTTTATCTTAGGGGCAAAACCACATAAAAAAGACAACAGGGTCAAATAACATTTTATGAATCGTGTAGGTTATCTTTGATTCAAATATTGCTGCCCTAGAGCTGAGATAGTAAATTGAAATTTAACGGAACAACTCGCACAGCATAATGATACGCCAGACTAAATAAGCGGGAGTGGGGTGAGCGCGGCGCGAATGTATCCTGGCCAAGCATTAAGTCTCTATGTAAAAAACACCAACATGATGATGACGATAATGATGAGGTTTACAAAGCTTATTATAATTTCATTTACAATAGAAAACTTACTTGGCACTCCTCTCTGTGGTGTACAGCGTGTTCATATTAGGCACCTGGTTGGTTTTCACCGTGTCCAGTACAAAGATATACCCGCGCTTGACTGGGCCTAGAATTAGAGCCCACATACTCCGGCTAGAATTGAGCGCCGCATGTTGGTAGAGATAGATATGTTTCACTGGTGATACACCGTCCTAGAATAAAACAAATGCTACTTTATTACAATACATCTATGATCTAAATTACAATAAGAGCTACAATAATTATTAATGAACTTTATTGTGAATATGAAGTTTATGAAGTAAACGTTTGGTACATCACCTGATAGGTTAGAAAATTAGGTGCTTAAAGAAAATGGTGAAACTTACTACTTTTTGTAAATAAGGCTGATGTGCAACACTCTTGAACTGTAACTGACTCAGTGTGAAAGAATCCATATTGTTTGATCCAAATTGAATTAATCTGTAACAAATGATTTAAACACTTTAATAACCAAAAACAAAGTCAAAAGTCACACAATCAAGATAAAATATAAACCATCCGTTTATGGATTTCAAAATTGTAAAAAGGTCTTACCGTCTCGCTTCTTTTTGATCCACGGCGCAAATACATCCCAGCTGCACGAGTACTCTAAACTCTAAGCTCATCTGTGTCTCGTATATGCCCTCGATTTCTGGGGTCGACAGTTCACCCATGAGCTCTCTGAAAAAAAAAACTTTATTTCAGTACGAAAGTTTCTTATAACTAAATATAACTAAAAACAAAGGTTGACTCATTTTTTTTAAGTGCATTTGCACCTGTGTCAGAAGGAGCCACTCTTCCGTAACTACAAAATGATTGCTACTAACAATTGATACATGCTAAAGTTTCTTATTTTGTTTTTTCAATATCTTAGGGCGTATGCTTTAACTGGTGTGGCCGCAGGCACACGTCTGTAGGTATCGAGAAATAGTATGCGGGGTAGTGTGGCGCGAACGCGTGTGATGGGTTTCCATACGCGCGGCGGAGTTGCGAAGCGCAGGTCATCTGAGGATTTCTTCATACACTCGCGCAAGTGTTAGCGTAGGCCCTTCTGAACTAGGAGTAGGCGTTAGGTAGTCCACTAGGTAAGCTAGATATGTGCTTATGTAAGGACTCGGTTCACCACAGTAGTCCGACGGTCGACGGGGATATAATTTCTCAAAACGGCAGTCCGAAAAAAAAATAGGGGAGGTTATGCCCCTAGTGCAGCGACCGAACTCCTAAGGAANTGACTATTCTTACCGTTAGATAATTCCTGGCAATAAGTGGTGACTGAGTTTGTTCCGGCGTTTCTTCTCGGCACTTGCCATATGTTTGTCTCGAAGCGCTGGTAGGGCCCAAAAGATAAGGAGACATGTAAAGTGCCCCATAAGGGCTACCTTTTCTTTTTTTATTATTTTCTATTGACGTTCATAAGTGCCACTTGTGGTCTAAACTGAATAAATATTTTTTGATTTTGATTTTGATTTTTTGATTTTGACTAGATGGCGCTGTGAAATTGTCCAAAGATTTGTTTATTTATTTATCCGCTTTGAGTTTTGTTTCGTGAAGAAGAAAAAGAAGCGTTTTGTTTTGTTGTTAAATCTATACTAATAAAAGAGGAAAGATTTAATTATTTGTTTGTTTGTTTGGAGGCAATAGGCTCCGAAAAAATTTCTTTCACGATTTAAATCCTAATTTTTTTCTATGTAGGCTGTAAAATATTTTCAAAAACTTTAGTCCAAAATCTTTGATAAAATTCGACGTTTAATAAATAAATTAGATAACATGTTAATACTTTTTTTTTTCAGTACGATTTTAGTACTTGTTTTTCAGAAATTCTACGATTTAACTAAACTTCTAAAGTGTTTATATTTTATGCATAATTTATTAACTTCTAAAATATACATATATCCTATTGATAGATGACGTGCTTCGTATTTTATTAAAATTATTACCTGACTAGGTTAAAAAGGTGTGGAATGTTATTTTGGAGATAACTTGGTTCCATAGAAATATATTTTTTTTGTGCCAATCTTGAATGCTTGAATGTCATTTCAGTGCCTCGTCTCATGGTTAATACTGACGCAGAGAGGGTTGAGCTTCATGGCTTCGCAGATAGCTCCACGAAGGCGTATGGCTGCGTCGTGTACATCCGCTGCAGTTGTCCTGAAAAAACTACAGTCCACTTAGTATGTGCGAAGACAAGAGTTGCTCCTCTCAAACCTGTCACTCTGCCTAAGTTAGAACTTTGCGCTGCACTGTTGCTTGCTAAGCTTATGAGCACTGTTTCCAAGACTTTAAATATTAGTTCTGAGAACTCATTCTATTGGACTGACTCCATGATTACCCTGTGTTGGATACAGAGTGATCCCGCTAGACGAGATGTTTTTGTATCGAATAGAGTTGGCCAAATACAAAATTTGTCTCCTAAAGACAATTGGTTTCATGTAAAGTCTTCAGAGAACCCTGCTGACATGGCTTCACGTGGTTTGGAATCACAGGATCTTTCCAATTGCAAATTATGGTTTAATGGACCTAACTGGCTTTTTCAAAGTGACTCACCTTGGCTTCATTCACCTCAAGTGTTTTCTCAGGATGACTCAGTGGGTGTTGACACTTGTAATGACATGCCAAGTGTAGCACTACCTACCTTTGAGGAGACTAAAAACGATTTTCTTGAATTATTCGACAGATATTCGTCTTGGAGTCGATTGGTTAGAGTCATGGCTTATGTACGTCGATTTATTAACAATATGAAAAATGCTAAATCTAAAATCACTGAATTTCTCACAAGTAAGGAGCTTAATCAAGCATCAAGTTGTATCATCAAATGCGTGCAGCATGCTCATTTTCAAAAAAATGCTAATGGTAATGTTTCCTCGGAACTTGGTTCTGGTTCTAAGTCTTTGAAGTTTTTAAACATATTTTCAGATGGCGAAGGAATGTTGCGCGTGGGTGGTCGCTTACGTTATGCTGATATCCCTGTTGATCAAAAATTTCTATTGCTACTGCCAGCACGTTGTCATGTCACTGACTTGTTGATTAGGTATGAGCATGAGAGGTTGTTGCATGCTGGAACGCAGACGACTTTGTCCAGTTTACGAAGATTTGTGTGGCCGCTAAACGCTCGAAATTCTGTGCGTCATTTCATACACAAGTGTGTACGTTGTTACAGGTTTAAGGCAGAAACTGCTTCACAAATAATGGCTGACCTACCCAAATGTCGTATTACTCCTTCTCGACCCTTTCTGTTCACAGGCATAGATTTTGCTGGACCGCTGTCTGTCAAAGTTGCTCGTATAAGGAAACCTATTATAACTAAAGGTTATATTTGCCTTTTTGTGTGCTTGAGTACTAAAGCTATTCATATCGAACTAGTGTCGAATCTCACTACTAAGGAATTTCTAAATGCATTGCGTAGATTCATTTCTAGACGAGGTAAATGTGGTAAAATATTCAGTGATAATGGTACTACTTTTCATGGGGCAAAAAATGAGCTTCATGAGTTATTCAACATGTTTAAGAACGATTTTGAACAAGTTTCAAATTATGTAATTTCAGAAGGTATTGAATGGCGGTTTATAATTCCTCATTCAGCTCATTGGGGCGGGTTATGGGAAAGCTCTGTAAAACTTGTAAAGCATCATTTAAAGAGAGTGTTAGGACACACTGTACNAAGACTGAATGTTCGAAATGCCAAAAACATGTGTGCAATGACCATATGAATATAGTCTGTGAAAATTGTGATGATAAAAAGTAGGAAACGTAAAAAAATATTTTTCATATTAAAAAAAAGGTTAATTTTCTTAAAAATACGTTCAAAAGTTGATTAATATGTTAGTTCAAATGTCCTAATTAAAAAAATCTGATTTTGCATGTATTTCGTATTTTATTTAATTTCCTAATTCTGGGGTGCCAAACACCCCAAGCGACCGCTTATGCAACTTTTTAGGCGCGCCCAATTGAGGGTTAAATACATTACAAATGAGGTATAAATGGTACAAAGAAAACCCAGATTTAATGTTAAATACTATTGTTTTATTAAAGGATGATAATCAGCCACCAATGTCTTGGCCATTGGGTCGTGTAGTTGAATTATATAAAGGTAAAGATAATCATAATTCGAGCTGTTGTTGTAAAAACTAAAACTGGTTTGTATTCTCGACCTATTACAAAAATTGTCCCATTGCCTATTGAGCAAAATAATTAACTTAAGAACTGATAAATGTACTTTTATAATTACTGCCTAAACTGTAAAAGTTAAAAGGTTAATTATGTATTTGTTTAACTTTCATTATTAAAAACATAGTTTGATTTGTTTCTACACTATGAGTGTATACTATCTTGTGTATTAAACTAAATATTGTATACATAATTACATGTTATATTTAAAGGATTTACAATAAGTAAAACTTGTTTACTACTAGTATGTAACTGGTAGGCTATTATAGCTCGTAGGACACCTTATGGTTGTGTACTTATGTATGATGCCAAGAGCTTGTACTTATGTATGACGCCAAGAGCGCTTAGGTTTGTTGAACTTACTTACCTTAATTAATCTCTTTCTTGGTAAGTGCATTTCTGTAGGTGTATTTCATTGCTAATATTGCAAAATATAAGTTGTAATGTTAATAGCTTTAACTTCTTTGTTTGAAGATTGAAATGTAATTTCAATGGGGCGGGTGTATGGTAAAAATGTAATAACGATATCTGGCAACCCAGAAGCGTTGTATGCTCTATGGCCCCTCTCTATGGTCTCTTTTTCCTACCATTCAAGTGTGTGCACATGGTTGTAAATTATCTTCTCAATAAATAGAATATCACTGAAGTTAAGTGTCTTTTGTACCTGCCGCATCACTCTGTTCATTAATAATTGATAATAAAATTATTTACTGTTTAGTTTATAAAACACACATACTACAAAATATGTCATTTCAGTTTTGTAAAATTTTCAATAACCTTGTTTAACATGATAAAATAATGATAGATTCTACAGATTAGACACAATTTGATGCATTTCATATTTAATTTCTGACACATTTACCATTTTATTTATTTTAACTATCGTAAACTTATATGATCAAACGAACTTACCAAGTGAAGTTCGATCTGCATTATCCTGTTTGCGCCGAAGAGATTTATTTTACCGTGTAGTAGTACCCCTGTACGACAAGCCAATCCGCACACAATATTCAGCGTAGTAGTAGTAAAAAACAAAAGAGCGGGCAACCCCACCCCTACCACGCTGTGGGCTCGGTGTCCGAGCGNTGGTTTGTATTCTCGACCTATTACAAAAATTGTCCCATTGCCTATTGAGCAAAATAATTAACTTAAGAACTGATAAATGTAATTTTATAATTACTGTCTAAAATGTAAAAGTTAAAAGATTAATTATGTATTTGTTTAACTTTCATTATTAAAAACATAGTTTGATTTGTTTCTACACTATGAGTGTATACTATCTTGTGTGTATTAAACTAAATATTGTATACATAATTACATGTTATATTTAAAGGATTTACAATAAGTAAAACTTGTTTACTACTAGTATGTAACTGGTAGGCTATTATAGCTCGTAGGACACCTTATGGTTGTGTACTTATGTATGATGCCAAGAGCTTGTACTTATGTATGACGCCAAGAGCGCTTAGGTTTGTTGAACTTACTTACCTTAATTAATCTCTTTCTTGGTAAGTGCATTTCTGTAGGTGTATTTCATTGCTAAGGTATTATATTGCAAAATGTAAGTTGTAATGTTAATAGCTTTAACTTCTTTGTTTGAAGATTGAAATGTAATTTCAATGGGGCGGGTGTATGGTAAAAATGTAATAACGATATCTGGCAACCCAGAAGCGTTGTATGCTCTATGGCCCCTCTCTATGGTCTCTTTTTTTCCTACCATTCAAGTGTGTGCACATGGTTGTAAATTATCTTCGCAATAAATAGAATATCACTGAAGTTAAGTGTCTTTTGTACCTGCCGCATCACTCTGTTCAGTAATGATTATCGAAAACAGCTTGTAGACATGGCTCAGAAGCGAAATGGGTCTATAATTCTTCAACAAGGTCTTGTCGCCTTTTTGGAAGATGAGTATCACCATACTTCTTTGCCATGCCGTAGGCGTTATTCCCTCGAGGATGACGGAACCGAGCAGCTTCTGAAAAGCCTTTAGTGCCGGCGTTCCGCCTGCTTTCAGAAGCTCAGCCGTGATTACGGTGCCTTGCAGTTTTTCAGCTGTTTGAGAACCATTCTAATCTCGTACAGACTAATGTCCGGGATATATTCGGTAAGTGTCGGATCAATCTAGCTAGCACGTATTTTCTATAAAAATGTGTCAAATGATCCGTCAGACAAGCTATCTACAACTTATCCAGAAGTGGCGAAACAGGCCCTTACTAAGCGATTGTGAAAATATGTCCTTAATGTCAAATAAGGACATATTTATAAGGCTATATAACTAAAAACACGCTTTTAATTACTAACAGCACTAAAAGGCCAAAAATCATCAGGACCCTGGACATCATCTAGCATGAAAGTGCTCAAAAAGACAAATCCAACGAACCCAACTCGATGAGTTTCCACCGTTTCGTTTAGGAGTTCCTATGGCCACCTCCTGAGTCCATCATTAGGACCCTGGACATTATCTAGCACTTAAAGATTTTTTTTTTTTTAAAGATTATTAAATTAGTAATTTGTTATTTCACAAATTACTAATACTCCCGTTAGCCCCTCGTACTAAGCTAAATATGCTTGTGTCACGAGTGAGCTCACCACAATAGTCGAGCGGCGGCGGGGACCGAACCCGCGTTCCCCGGATCACGAGTCGGCCAGTCCGACCCCTTCACCGTTCGGCTATCGTGGCTTCAAAAACATTCAAAAAGATCTCGAAAAGACAAATCCAATGACCCCAAACTCGATGTGATTCCGCCGTTTCGTTTAGGAATTCCTTTGGCCACCTTCCAGTCCCATCATCAGACCAGCTGGTACCACAATATTGTATTGTCATCTAATCTACATTATAATTGCTAAGTTTCATGATGATACAAAACTTAGAAGTACGTGTAATTCAGATTCTTAGATTCCATTACATAGTTAGTTACATACACGACGACCTAATAAAAGCGTGTTAAAAACGAAAAAATGGACAGTTAAATTATTTAATTACGTGTAAAAAGAAATTTCTGTCATCTTACATATCATTAAAACGACATTTCACGACGAAAAAAATAAAATATAATAAAGGTGCAGTTGCCGAGAATATTGCCGGGAAAGTTCCCGAGAATATTCTCGGGAGCACTGGGAATATAGCCTTTCACTGCAAATAGAGTGTATTGTTTAATATACACTTATCTGTAGACTTAATGTAATACTAATTTACTTAAGAAAGTTTGTTTATTTCCATTTGATAAACATGATTCTCAACCTTTCTCACTTAGGAGAACGCTCCCGGGAGCGCTCCCGAGAATATTCTCAGTTGGGAGAGCGTTCTCGGGAACGGCACATCAATAATTCCAACTGTTGAATTTAAGTAATTTACTTAGAAATCAGAACTATTTATTTGCTACTTTATTTT